GGCAGCTCAAACTGGACAGAGTCCGGTAGGAACCATAAATGAGCATGGTTGAAAGTTGGATGTGGTATATTGGTAATTAAAGTCCTGATTCAGCAGTATTCTCACTAAAATCAGTGATGCACATAGTTCAGTGCCATATTGAATCAAGGCCCAAGTATATGGATCTGTATCTTTCTTTGACTGTACCACTACCTTCTATTTCTTCTTCAGTTTGTGTAGCTTGTATTCCTTTAAATTCAAAGCTTAAACACAAGTTGTAGTGTTTAAAGTGAGGTTGGTGATGTTTGAACATATCTTGTACATGTAGTAAGTTCTTTCATCTGTTCATAAATGTGGCATGATTAAAGGTCAATGAGCCACTGAGTAACAAGTGTACTTGGTAGCTAAATAGCAAGACTCACACTTTGTCTCCATTAATAGCCCTGTAATCTGCCAGAGTTATTTTCTTACTTCATTCTTTGTTTTCATGGTGAAACATGGGTATTGCAGAGTATGCTCATTAATGTTTAAACACATAGAGTAACATGATGGCATAATGGAAAATAAAATGGCACAGTGGATGCTGTAATTCAATCAGAAAATAAAAATAAAAATATATGAATGCTTCTGCACTGGAACTGAGTGTATTTATCTGCATTCAACTGATTGCTGTGATCTTGTGTTTTTCCAAAGAAATTAAAAAAAAAGTTTAGATCAAACACATTTTTAACTTTAGAAAGTAATTCTGTTTTTTTTAAGAAGATTGTAGACTAAGTAATTGAATGGATTAATAGAGCAGTTGCAATTTACCAATAAGAAGTTCCATTGTGCTGTGGTTTGTAGCAAGGAGAATACATATTCAACTTTTTCAATTCAAATATGAGATCTAGGTTGTATTTCTCATCATGATTTCTTCCAGCTCCCTTGGTTGCTTCAAGCTCCTCTGTGACCTTTGACAAGTCACATCACTTTCCTGGGCACAATGATATTTATCCACATTAAGATCTGTTAAACCTTTTGCAGTTTGGTTCAGTTAGAGAGGTGTCTGTTTTTTATCATCACCGTACACTGTATTTATTATTCTTTTATAGTAGCTTGCCATTCTTGCTTACAGCTGCATCTGACTTTGGCAAAGAAGTAGGGAACTTCACCCCAGCTCCTTGTGAGGAATGGAACCTGGAGTTCATAGCAACTCAGCTTTATCCTCTTAAAAAACATCTTAAGGAATCTTTCAGTGATGTCAGTGGAAGAACTTTGAGCTGAGTTCCCCCTGTGCCTCCTGTATTCTGAAATTACATGATGGCTTTTTTCCTAAAAGCCTCCCACAGTTTACCAGTGACTAACCCAGCAAAATTTCAGTCTCTCTCAGAAGGCTAAGCAGTACACCTAACCTCTCTGGTAGCCCTCTCCTGTCAGACAAAATGGAGGAGGAAAGGTAACTCAGCAGCAAAGCTCTGGGAAAAGACCAGATGTTTTTCCCCGCTGAAACATCCATCTTAGGACAGTGCAGAAACTAAAGTCACTGCCTTCCTTGTGCAAAAAACTTTCAGAGGACTAATGTCCCACGTTGGAAGCATTAAAAATCAAACATCAATGATGGAAGACATATTTGAAGACTACTGGTATCTGGAAGTCAGGCAAACAAAAGGCAGTAAGTCCTTGTGAGTCGAAGTGGTGGGCCTGGAAGAGGCAGCCCATTGCAGCAATTTGCACATACTGGGATTCCCTGAAGAGACTGAGCATGGCCAAACTTGTGCAGAAAGTTCATCCCATTCACACTCACCAGAGAATAAACGTTTAGTTATCAAATGAGCACTTTTGTGCCTAACCCAGCACAAAATATAATTCCTACATCCATTGTAATTAAGTTTTAGCATTAAAGAATAGTTTTGTAGGAAAGCCAGGGAGCTGGACAAACTAACTTGGGGAGAAAAGTCACACAAAGTTATGCTCTTCCAAATTCTCAGTAAAGATAATGTGCCACAGCAATCTCTGTTCCAAGCCACTAAGCAGATGGCAAAGCAAAAGAATCTGCAGTATTGCATGTTCTACCCAGCAATTTTCAGTGCAAAACGTTAGGAGACCACTTCAGAGGTTCTATACTGAAACAGAAATTGAATCCTTTTGGAGGAGTGAGCAATTTTGATCTCTGTGGCAAGAAAATTACCTGTGCTGGCAGTTAAGATTCTTTTTTGTATTTCTCCTCCCATTTAATCTGATCACTTATTGATGGACTTATGTTTCTAAAGGCTGCCCAATGCAAACTTTACCTTCTCCACCATTAGGACTTCATTATGAAGCAATTCCATGCTTCTTTTTGGAGGAATACCTGTAGTGTGGAAGGATTAGTTTAAGAAAAGCATCCTCCTTGCATACAGATTCTTTAACTTTCCAAAATCTGAAATTTTGAAATGCCTCTAAATAAGGTAACTTTTTAGAGTACCATTTTGCCCCTAAATGTATTGGCTACCCCCAGAATGGCAAGTGTGTTAGAAATATAAATAGATGTACTGTATTGGCAGTGCTAGTATTTGGTGAAAGCCAGGAAATAACCATCTATGGACCAAATGTAGGGTAAGGAAGTAAAAGGTTCTCCTAAATGGAATAATACAGTGTGATGTAAAGAAGTCAGTATCTTTTGCATCCACTTAGACCCCCTTCTGATAATTTTAAATTTGGCATCAAAGACACAGAGGACTATTTGTGATGTGAAGGCAGTCCCCTAGAGCCTTAATCCACATTATTTTAGGGTCTGAATTTTTTTGGAGGGATGTGTGCATCCAGATATTCTCTTGAAGCCATAAATGATTCTTGTAAGCTACTTCAGTTCAAAAAAAAGAAACCTGAATAAATGAGCAGGAGTTGTGGATTCTTCAGGTTACCTTGGCAGCCAAGTAGATGAGAGTTTATATGTCACATACCAAGGGCGGGTAGAGTGACTTGTTGGAAATGGCAGCACTCGAAAGACCTTTAAACATGATCTTCATTTGATATAACAATAGATGAAGGAATAATATATTTATATAAAGTATATCTCACTGAATAATGTACATTGGTAAGACAGTGCTGTCCAAGTGAGATTTTATGTTCTTTGGTCTGCTTGGTCTTTTCTTTTTTTGGTTCAATTCTTGGTGTGGCCCTGTTGCTGTCCTCAGTTTCTTTTGTAGTTAGCACGTCCTCCGTCTCTTTCTTTTAACAATAATGATTCTGTATATTGTATTTTAATTGGTGAATGAAATGTTTTATATTCTGTTTTCTTCATTACTTTTGTTATAAATTGAAAATAATAAAAATATTAATCCTAGCCCCCCTCTGTATCTCATTTTAAAGAACGTGATCATTGAGTAGTAGGCTAAGGGATCATTGGATATCAGTGGCAGTGAAAGGAGCAGGATGCAATTTTGTAGCTGCCCTTTAATCCTTACCTGCAGCATTTAAAAAAAATTTTTTTTTGCTATATCAACTCTGGAGTCTCTAAGTAGTAACTGAATTATATTGTTTTTAAGTGGTTTTGTGCTGTGAATAAATTTGCTCTCAATTTAGTCCTGTGAGAGAAGGCTAGAAGCTAAAAAGTGACCCAGCACTCTGATCACTTGGCACCAATCAGTTCCCTAGGAGAAAGCAGACTAGGGATGTGTAGCTAATTAGCTGATGGGTCTGGGATGGCTGATGAACCAATTAGCCCATCAGCTGAGGGATATAAGAAGAACACTGGAAGGAAATTGGTGAGAGAGGGTCTGGGCTGGCTGAGCTGAATGTGTTCAGAGGTCTGATGGAAGGGAGAGATCTCTGTTCCCCTCTGGCCTATGGGAAAGGGCTAAAAGTAGAGAAGGACTGTAAATAATTTGCTGCATGAGCTTGTATTGGTGTTGGTGTTGTGAATGTAAATAAATCACATGAAGTTTTCCATGACTGGACAGAGTCTGAGACATTTCTGGGGCCTCAAAGGACAGGGATGGAGCACACCCTCTTTTACTCATTTTTTGTCCCTATTTTACTCATTGTTTGTGATCTGAGCCAGATTTGCAATATAGCTCTGAATTAAACTAGCCTTTCACATCCTGGTTCCAAATCAAACACATTGTATGGACTGGATTGTTAGCTAGTGTAAATCACAATAGCATTTAGTTTTGTCAGTTTACACCAAGTAAGTATCTGACCCACAAGGGGTGGCTTTTCTTATCCTTCTGTAATTTTTGTCAGATCTTTGTTTGGAAGATGAGTGAGGTGTCTACTTCTCTAACTTTTGCCAGTATCAGCTCACAGATGTTGTCAGTGATTTTATTCAGTAAGTGCTGCAAAACATTAAGAGCTTGAGGAATCTCCTGATATTCCATTCTTCAAAGATGCTTCAGTACTGCTAAGTTTTGCAGCTTTACTCTGATAAATTCTTACAGCTTTTCTGCAAGATGTAGCAAAAATATGCTTGTCTAGGAATGTCTTCACTATCTTTGGTACATGGGTTAAATATGAATTAAAATACTGTGTGTGCAGACCAATTGGACTTTCCTTTTAAAATGAGAGCATCATTCGTCTTTCTGTGAGAATTTATTGCCTACTTCCCTAGAAAAGTGATTTACTATGTAATTTGGTTTCAGCAATGATGAATTATTTAGGGATGAACCAATAGGTCATCATAAGATTAGGTGTGTTACCTGTAGTGTCCTGATTCTAGTATGAATAGCTTCCATTCTGACTATTTCAATTCACTCTAAGTTTTCATCTGGACATACCTGACCGAAACTATAGAGTAGTGTTGCTTTGTGCCTTTAAACAGCTGTTGCTTTCTTCTAGAGATGGCTCCTTTTCCGTGGTTGAAGTGATTCTTCTATTGTGTGTGTACAACATAACAAAAATATGAACTGCTTTGGATCCTTCGGTAGTACTACTTATTATAAAAACCAGACAGCTTAAGAAATAGTTTTAAAGGAAAAAATTCTTAGAGAGAAGAGATAAAGTGCAGGAGCATTTGAAAATCATTGACTCAGAGTTCTTGTTATGTACTGTTTCTTTTTCTTCAGGTGCTCCCTCTGGAAAATAGAATGAAAGAAACCCAACGTTTCACACAGGCACTGAACATTGGCATGGGAATTGTTATGTCCTTGTATATCACTCTAGCCACTCTAGGATACCTGCGCTTTGGGGATGAAATCAAAGGCAGCATAACTTTAAACCTGCCACAAGAAGTATGGTAGGTGGACATATATGATTTAAAATTCTTACTCTAAAGGAGTTTCAAAGATTAAATGTTGTCTGTGGTGGGAGGAGGAGGGAGGGTTACATTCCGTATACAAGAACTTTGTGGTATTTTATATCAGGATCTAAAATGGGTGACACTGAAAGATGAATACAGTAGGGGAAAGGGAATAGGAGGATTGACAAGTCTGAGTTGTGACTGAATAGCATAATTTTTAAGATGTTTGTTTATGCAGAAGTTGAGATACTTTACAGAGCTACACTTTCAAAACCAGATGATCTGCAAAATTGCGAGCCTGCTCTAGCTTCTCTAGCAACCCATGTTAATGTGAGTCACTAGGCGTCTGCATATGCAGAGTTACCAGTCCTTGAAAATTAAATTACGTGTACTCTTACATCTTCAGCGCATGCAAATGAAGTTTTTTGAAGAGGTACCTGTTCCACTTTCCTCTTGGGATGCAGAGATGCATTATGTACCTGATTTAAAAGAACCATTACTATTTGTTCTAATGTATCCTTGTCAGCACTTAATATATAAGCCCTGGATATGTGGACTACCTATTTAGGTATTTAAAAATTCAGTTGCCTTTTTTATTTTCACATATGGATCCTCACTTTTTAAAGACACCTAGGGTTCCATTTAAGGATGAACAGTTTATCCAGAAATTACATGGCCATGTCAAGTTACACCTCAAATTAAAATACTAAAGTTTCACATGAATTCTCTTACATCATGAGAATAGTTTAAGCACTATAATTATATTATATGGCCCCACTCTGATATGCTCTGTGTTCCTGTTTACATTTTTAAGTCTCTGACAGCATTACCGGTTTCCAGTTTTTTCCTTATCATTGAGTATCTGTGACCTAGATTAATTTTCCTCAGATGTGTTAGCTTGCACTTTTCCAAGCTGAATTTTAGTATGGTTTATGTGTACATTTGAACAGTCTTCTAGTAAGAGATGCCAGAATTCTGTGTGTAGAAATTCTGCAAATTCTGAGAATATAGGATCTCCTTCTAAATTTTTGGTATCTCTAGCATATCTGTAGTACATAAGCTGTACTGAGTTTTTGGCCATTCTGTTGCAAAGATATGATTTAGTAATTTCTAAATTGTTTTTATTTGTGTTACCGTACTGCCTAGGAGTCCATTGTGCTAGGTGCTGTATAAACACAGAACCAAAAGACGGTTCCTGCCCCAAAGAGCTTACAATCTTAGTGTAAGACAAGAGGTAACAGATGGATACAGAGAGATGGGGGAATACAAGGAAACAATGAGACATTATTGGCCAGCATGATAGGTAATGAGATCAGCATGCCAGTAGCTTAACTTCTGTCAAGTTTTTTTTGTAGGTAAAGGGCAAAGGGTTTTGAAGGATGGTAATTAGTTAGTTTTTGGATGTTAATGAGGAGCTCCTTCCAAATGTGAGGAGCAGCATGGGAGAAAGTTCCATTGGTGTCCTTATCACTGTAATATTCTAGAAATGTCACACTCCCTGCTCAAATGGACACACAAAAAAAGTTGGAATAAAAGATCTTAAGTAATGAAATGTTAAACAATAAAAAAATAGTATTGTCTGTTAGTTTGGTGCATTTTTTGTAGACTTTATGAAAGCAGTCAGTTTTGCTGAGGGATATGACTGTTTATTGACTGGAACAATAGCACCAAGAGAAGTTTGTTGGCGGTCTCATTCATTTCAAAGTCATGTCAACTCCTGAAGCCCAACTGAATGGCAGATAAATTTAAGCACCGTTTTGTTATATAAACCCATGTAATGTGGCATTCCCAGTGGATCTCATAAAAACTGTCTGCTTGGATATCCATTGTAAACAAAACATAGTGTCCTTTATATATAAGGGGATGGAATATAAGAGAATTGGATAGATACATAGAAAGATTGTTCATCTACCTTTGAGTAAATTATTATGGTCACAGAATGTTCCACGCATATTGAGAGATGGAAAAGATAATCTAGTGTTGGAATTTGAGGAGATGATTGTGATAAAGAAATTTTCAGCTAAAAAAGGTTGTTAATTGAAAGGGAACTTATGCATCATTTAATCAAAATCAAATGGGTGCTCCTAATAGTTTTGAATCATAATACATGAATGGGCATACACTCGATGAGACAGAAAAGGTGTAGATAACAGCCAAAAGGAATTACTATACCTTGCTACTTATTCTATTGTAAACTCTTGGAATTCCCTGGAAATCACAAGAAATTGTTGAGGCTAATAGTTTAGCAGAATTTGTAAAAGGAAGAGACATCTGAGCATGAACAACAATAACGAAGTATGTTGGCTAGAATGAAAAGAATTTGTTCCTTATGCTCTAGGATATAATGACATTGCTTTCAAAGCTGGAAAAGAAACCCCTGACACCTTTACTTTGGAGCGCTTTGCTTTCCAATGAACCATAAGATACTGCCACATCTGGGGATGGATATCCAATAAAACTATTTATTTAATCCAAGCTCATCTTTTTAATTTGGCTTGTTTAGGCCCTGTGCTTACTCGCCACACTCTTTACTTGCTCTCACCTTAAATACATTTGTAAGCAAGCTACGTCTCCTTCAGCATGGCAAAGAAGAAAGAGAAAGATACTGTTTGGCTTTATTCTTATCTTCAGATACTTGGGAGATGCTCTGTGATGGAGTTTATATGGGTATTTAAAGATCCTAGATAGTGTAGAAAGAAAAGGAGTACTTGTGGCACCTTAGAGACTAACCAATTTATTTGAGCATAAGCTTTCGTGAGCTACAGCTCACGTCATCAGATGCATATTGTGGAAACTGCATCCGATGAAGTGAGCTGTAGCTCACGAAAGCTTATGCTCAAATAAATTGGTTAGTCTCTAAGGTGCCACAAGTACTCCTTTTCTTTTTGCGAATACAGACTAACACGGCTGTTACTCTGAAACTAGATAGTGTAGGTAACATAGTCCATATTTGGATGTAGGCCTGAGTACCTTTAGTTGGCCAAATATTCTAGTTAACGTTAGCTCAAGTTAGTATTGCTAAGAAATGTTTGAAAGAGCTTTTGGGTATGTAAGCAAAAGGTTATTAGGATAAAGTCACTCAAATGTCCTAGACTCTGACCCCACCTTTTAAACTACTTTCCAAGTGTTTTAATTCATGCACTGTCATGAGAATGTGTGGAAATGAGCAAATGTTCAACACTGACTAGCCATTAATTATATTTAAACAACCAAGACACTTATGTCTGTGGTCTAAGTGGAAGCTTGCATATCAGCTCCTTATCACATGACACCTTCTTGCTTCCTGTTTTCAGGAGACATCTCTTTGTGGTTAGCAATGAATCAGATTATTACATGTGCACACTATACTGGACTCTTCATTGTGATTCCAAGACCAAAGTGCCAGGCCATTGGACTATGATGAGCTATAGTCAACATGCTCAAACCCCTAATTGGATAAGAGTGTTCCCTGGGGCAAGGTAGAAGAGTAATTTATTCCCATAAAAGATGCCAATCAAGATCAACTAACTCCCACATGCGAAAGCACAGATTACATCTATCATTAATGAAGTTATGGGTAAATATCAATGTGTTCCAAGCTAAGACCAGTCACATAAATTAGAGACCCAAAGAAGAAAAGGAAGGTGTGAAAATCCTTCTGTTCAGGAATTTGAGGATGCTCAAATTCCTCCAACATCCCCTGTATGTGTCTTTGTGTGTTATTAACTGTTCCCCAAAGGAGACACTAAACCCTTAACATTGTTAATAAAACAATAAAGGAACTCTGAGTTAAACCAGAATTGTTCCCAAGCTTCTGTAAGTGTAGGATTTTAGAAAATCTGTTTCTCTGCCAAAATGTGATGGGACGTACAAACCGCACACTGGTGGGTAAAGGAGAAAGTCTGGGCCCAGAAAGCCCTGTCCAGCCACTGCTGCTGGGCATGCTCACACTGGAGGTTGAGCTCAAAAGGGAGCAGCTTAGCTCAGTCAGGGTAGATGGAGCACATAAAAGTTCTGCTAAAAGGATCATTGGACCCTGAATACCCTAAAGAGGCCATGGATACAGAAAAGCTGTTAAAATGGATGCTGGTGAACCGGCAACAGCAGGCAGCCCAGCAACAGCAGCGGCAAGGGCAGATACTACAACAGACTGTGGCCCAGGAGCAACAGCAAGAGGCCCAACAGCAACAATAGCTAATTCAGGGGCTGGTGACCCAGCACCAGCCACAACAAGAATGCCTGATGCAGCAGATGGTGATGCTGTTACAGCCCTAGGGGGCATCCAATGTCATGGTGCCTAGACCCATAGGAGAAGCTGTTCCCACAGGATTGCTCACCTAGCTCACAAAAATGGGTGTTGGAGGTGATCCTGAAGCATTTCTGGTCACATTCAAACGCGTAGGGATGGATTTAGTGGGACCTTCGGAGAAGAGAGCGTCAGGATTCCGGTATATACTGATGATAGTAGACTATGCCACACAGTACCCTGAAGCCATTCTGCTATGCATGCCTAACACACCTATCATAGCAAACGAGCTCATGAAAGTCTTCATGAGGGTTAGGATACCAAAGGAAATACTAATGGACAGAGGATCTAACTTCTCATCCAGGTTGATGGAGGAGCTGTGTAAACTGCTGAGAATCAAAGCCCCCCAAATTTCTGTGTACCACCCACAGATCGCCTCAAAAAAAAGTTGCAGGTGACTCCTGGGTAGTAGCATGTGGTATGTTCCTGTAGACAAGAAATGGACTTAAAATAGTCTTGTTAGCTTTTAAGGCATGCTTAAATGTCGCTACAATTCTGAAGCACTTAGAGGAGAGGAAAGTGATCAGGAACAGTCAGCATGGATTCACCAAGGGCAAGTCATGCCTGACTAATCTAATTGCCTTCTATGACGAGATAACTGGCTCTGTGGATGAAGGGAAAGCAGTGGACATGTTGTTCCTTGACTTTAGCAAAGCTTTTGACACTGTCTCCCATAGTATTCTTGCCAGCAAGTTAAAGAAGTATGGGCTGG